AAGGCCAGCCTGGTCTACAGAGTGAGTTCCAGGCAGCTGGGGCTACAGGGAGACCCTATCTCAAAAAAACCAAAAAAAAAAAAAAAAAAACACTTCCAATGATTTGAAAGCCAACTAGTGATCATGGTTAATGTAGGTGACAAAAATCAGCAGCAGGTATTGCAAGAACATTATCTAATCAGCTTGAAAAATAATTACTAGACTTTTCAAATCCCATGATATGTTTATACCTAGAATTCTAGCTAATGATGTCAAATCTTTGCCTTTAGGAGATTTACTCTTTAGCTAAGGGAGGGGAAATAAACACTTTTAAGAGCCTGAGGGATTCTTGAGAGGAAGACTATTGTGGATCATTTTCAGTACAGGAATATGTCTGCCAGCCTGAAATCTAGCTGTTATGTATAACAGTTTGTTGATTTTTGTGCCTCACCTTATCCTGTGTGTGACTCTGACTGACTTTTCATTGATGCCCTGAAAATCCTTATTTCTGTCTAGGGTGAGCCCATCACCTTCTGTGAGGAGAGCTTTGTAAAGCACCGTTCAAGTGTAATGAAAGAGTTTCTGGAAACTGCGGTTAACCTTCAACTTTTTAAGCAGGTAAGAGTGGACCTGCACCCATTTGGTCTGTACAGAGAACATTGTCTTTGAGATGTATTTCCAGTTCCTTGAATCTATATCCAAGTAAAAATCCATGTCCTCAGTAAAGTCTTTTCTGGAATTTACCTCAGGACATTTTTCTTTTGTAAACAGAAGAATGCCTTATAGTGCTAGCTGTGGCACAGTACTCCGGAAATACTTTACGTTGTTCCTGTTCAAGATTCCGTGTGAAAAGTTGCTAAGTTCAAGGTTTTACTGAGAAGAGTTTATGTCCACAGAAGTAGATGCTATGCTAACTGAATCATCTCAGTGTAATCCAGTTTATAAAATAAGTTTCTAAAGCAATATTAACTTCTTTGCTTTGTAAGACTTAGCCCTAATCATAAATTCAAAATTTAGAAAAAAATATATTAGCTATCCTGATTTTTTGGTCAGAAAATCTAATTGCCCTTTAGAAGCAAACTTTAACATCACAATTCAGACATTTTTAGCAGCACTGGTTATTACACTGTGTGGTCACAGCAAGTCTCTGAAAGTAGGTTGTTGTAGTTTCTGTTTAAATAATTTAAATTCACTTATTCCACATGACAATTTTAAGTGTAAAGTGAGTTCTATGAATTTGGCATTTAACACATACCCACAATGTGTCATAAACAGTGTTTAGGGGAGGATATATCATGCAATGCCTTTGAGAGGCTCCCAGTCTTATCAGGACTGCTAGTGTAGAAAAGACCATAGGATTTAAAATTACCTTCAAATTAAGTAAGTATTATGATGGTGAATTAATGCTAGTATTTGTATTTGAGCAATTAGAAAATAATCCAATGATAGAATATACCCAGTGGTAATATAACTGTTACCTAATATGTGGGGGTTTACCTTAAGGAAAAGTACTTTTCATGTATATACACTTTTGTTTATATATACTTTTATTGAATTCTTATGCATTTCATACAGTATATCTTAATCATATTTAGACCCCCTCCCCTATCTGCACCCCCAGATCCATCCACAGGTTTCATGCATTCTCTCATATATATTAAGGCCTATTGAGCCAAGTTTGTGTACCCAGATGTCCCTCAGTGCATGTTCATTCACTGGAGTCTAGTCACTCCCTTAAAGAAGACCAACTCTCCCACACCCAGCAGTGATCAGCTGTCGGTAGTTCCTTAATCAAGATTGGGGCATCCTGCTTATTTCCCCAATTCTGTGCTGGATATTTTTCTGATTGAGTTTGCATGGCCTTGTTTATGTTGTCATCATTGCTGTAAGTTCATAGGAGCAAGTTCCCAGAAACCTGGAAGACTCTTGTTTCCATGTGCTCATATGCCATCCCCATCTCTTAAAATTTTTCTGCCCTCTCTTCCACAATGGTCCATGAGGTAAGGTTTAATGTAGGAGTCCTTTCCAGACACACTCTGCAGTCACTACATTTTGGCCAGTTGTGGCCTACTGTGTTAACCACCCTCTGTTGCATGAGTAATCTTCGCTGGTAAGAGTTGAGAAATGCATTAGTATTCTCTCTACCCCCGTTCCACTGTGCTCTGTGAACCTTAGGTGAGAGGTTCCACTGTAGATGTATCACTTAGGGCTGGGCATCTCACAAACACATATTCTTTGTGTGTGACCAGTTGTGGAACTCTGTAATAGTCTCCATCTGTTGCAAAAAGAAGCTTCTTGATGAGTGGTGACAGGTAAACTTGTCTGTAAATATAAGGATCTATATTTAGCAAGCAGTAAAAAATTTCATTTGTCTAGAGATATGACAGAGATAAGGTTTTATCTAGCATCTCCAGCTATGCATATTTGACTATGTTTACAATACACACGAATTCCCTCCTGTTGAGCAGGCTTCAAGTTCAGTTAGATAGCTATTGATTACCTCCAAGATAAATCTGAAGCCCTCTTCTAACTCTGCAACATCGGACAACAGGGTGCATTCACATACATGCAGTCAATACATTCCTACACATGAAATAAAAATAATAAATAAGAAAAAAGTTTTTTACAAAAGTGCCTCTACTCCACTGATACTGTTTTATGTGCTGGTTGTTAGGCCTTAACAGCATGGTACTGACACAAAACAGTTACATAGATCAATGGAACAAAACAGAAGATCCAAATATGAGTGCATGCAATTTCAGCTGTCTGATATATATCAGAGGTGCCAAGAACACACATGGAGGAAAGACAGCATCTTCAACAAATAGTGCTGGCAAAACTGGATCTCCACCTGTAGAAGAATGGAATTAAACCCTTATCTATCACCCTGCACAAATGTCAGTTCCAAATGGATGAAGGACCTCAATATGAAACATAAAACTTGGAAACTGTTAGAAGAAAACATAGGCAGTACCCTACAAGATAACAGTGCAGGAAAGGACTTTCTAAATTGGACATCAGTTTATCAGGAATTAAGGCCAACAGTGGACAAGTTGGACCTCATTAAACTAAAAAGCTTCTGCACAACAAAAGAAATAACAAAGGAGTGAAGAGGAAACCCACAGAGTGGGAAATAATCTTCATCAACTACACAGCTGACAGAGGATCAGTATCCAGAATATACAAAGAACTCATAAAACAACGTCTCAAGAAAACAAATGACCCAATAAAAGATGGACTACAGATCTGAACAGAGTGTTCTCAAGAGAAGAAATAAAAATGACTAAGAAACACCTTATGTGTTCACCATCCTTAGTATTAGGGAAATACAAATCAAAACCACTTGAAGATTTCATCTTACCCCAGTCAGACTGGACTAATATCAAGAGAATAAATGACACCAAGTGCTGGCGAGGCTGTGGTGAAAAGGTAAATGCTCATTTACTGCTGGGAGGATTGCAAAATGGCACAATCACTATGGAAAACAATGTGGAAAACTCTTTAAAAAACTAAAAAATGAATCTGCCATACGATCTGGTTATATAACTCATTGGCATATACCCAAAGGACTCATTCTACTCAACAGATACTTGTGCATCCATGTTTGTTGCTGTTCTTTTTACAGTAGCCAAGAAATGAAAAACAACCTAAATGTCCCTCAACTGACTAGTGGATAATGAAAATGTGGCACATTTATATAATGTCGTTCTGCTAAGCAATAAAGAAAGACAAAATCATGAAATTTACAAGTAAATGGATCAAACTAAGAACTGTCATACAAAGCGAAGTAACACAGACTCAGAAAAACAAGTGATGTATGTTCTTTCTCATTGGTGGATCCCAGCACCAAATCCTTATATGTGAGTATATATCCTGATGTAACCACAGGAGCCAGAAAAGGGGAAAGCAAACATGAGGCTTAAGGGAAAGAAAGCCTGAAAGAAGGGCATAGTAGAGTGTGTATGTGTGTGCGTCTGTGTGTGTGCGTGTGTGTGTGCATAATGCTTGTAGAGGTGAGAAGAAGGTATCAGATCCCAGTAGCTAGAGTTGCAGGCTAATATGAGCCACACTTTGTGGGTGTTGGGAACTTAATTCAGGTCCTCTGGAAGAACAGCAAGTGCTCTTAATCACTAAGCCCTCCCTCCAACCCATAAAAATTTTAAAGTTGTAATGCAGTAGAACATTACACAGCGGGGGAATGAATAACCTCTAGTACAAGTGGAAAAGAATGAAGTGAGAGAAGTACCAAGAATATAGATGATGGGTTCTTTTATGTAGTAGATACGTGGAACTCATATAATATATAAAAACCATAAAGGCAAGCTGAGGAGACTGTGGTCTTTTCTGTAGGGGGACAGAGCACAGAGAAGCCTTCAGATCCTTTCAGCTTGTCATGTATTTATGCTTAAATTGTATGGTTTTATATTTTGTTTAAAAATTTTAATAGACAATAACTATACATGCTTTAGGGATACAACTTGATGGTTTAATAAATATACACATATGTGTATTCGTCCACATAAATGCTCATATCATGCTAGTTAACATAACTGTCATCTAACATACTTTTTCCCCCCTCTGGGACACTTTGAAAGCAGTCCTTAGAGGGAAGTTTATAGCTCTAAGTGCCTACATTAAAAA